GGTTTTAAAATGATTGATATATATACGGAGATTGAATACGACAAAATAAATAAACATACGTTAGAAAATTATGTATAAATTTATCAACTTCTTCATTTCTGATCGAATTACAGTAGTAATATTTTCCTCTGGGCTGCCAAATTTCTGAATTAATATCTAAATGCATTTTACTTTTCTTCCAGAATGCAGTGTTTCAGACACCAACCTGGCATTGTTTCTAAGATACTTTTATATTTGTGCATTGAAAAGATGCATTCAAAATGTAGTGATCATCTTTTGTAAGCAAAGGGCATGCTTTATTTGCATCAACGCGAGAACTCGCACTGAGCTTCTTTAAAATGAAGGAAAAAATCTTTAATGCATTCTTTTTAAAAGAATACTGATTAAAATGTATAACAATAATATTTAAGTTAGTGAAAACTCAAGTGCATATCAGACATCTATGAAAATAATCTTAGAAACAATTTTCTACTCTCGCCATGAAAGATTTGACGCTATTGTAAGTAACCAGCATAACTTTATTGTCATCGCATTTTATCCTGTTACGAAATACCAGATTGTTCGAATTCTTCCCTAATTCAGCATTCATGTCCTTTTCTCACTTATAAATAAAATTAGTTATCCGTTTCTAAAAGATTTCGTCACTGATTTCCATTCTTGGAGAAATGCAGAAGAATATCTTGTCAATATGTTATGACATACTATATCGTTTAAATCAAAAATGAAATGAAAGTTTATATAAAAGAATACAAATCTTATCCTTGAAAAGGAGAAGTAAAACAAATCTTTGGTTGCTAATCATAGCTGATTATTTAGCCATAGTTTTGATCTCGATTCTGAAAAAGAAGTATCCACAAATCCTTTTCATTTGGTGAAGTGGATTCTTTCACATTCATACATTTTAACTATCTTTATTAAAAGAAATTAAACACTACCTAAATCTTCCTAAAGCTTTTAAATACCTTATAAGGTATTTCTCTCGCCTTCCTAGCGTGCCTTCGTGGTGTAGTGGTTCTGTACACTGGGCCGGCATTCCAGAGGTCCGCGGTTCGATTCCCGGCGAAGGCGTTGCTAATTTTTCAATCGCTCTTGCTTCTAAAAAATACTAATGACTCTACAGTGGTGCCCGAACTAAAAAAAAGAGTGTTGGGTGATGATTCTCCTCACCCAGAATTTGGCGATTGGGTCCTCTAAAAACTCCAGTCGCCCTTTAAAAGGGGGAGTATATAAGGTATTTCTCCCGTCTTCCTAGCATGCCTTCGTGGTGAAGTGGTTCTGCATGATCGGCGCGTATTCTAGAGGTCCGCGGTTCAAATCCCGGCGAAATCGTTGCTAATTTTTTAATCGCACTTGCTTCCAAAAAATCCTAATGTCTCTACAACCTAACATTAAAATTTCTCGCTTTTTTTACAATTTTTCTCGACAGATGAATCTACGTTCATTTTTTCAATGCTTCGCTCATTGATTTCATTATAAATGCAGAGCTTCTATTCCTACCTTTACAAATTTTTGTTTTTGTTTCTGAAGTAGACGGTTCTATGAATAATGGTCCTGGAAACTAATAGAGCTTTATTCAAGCTCTACGCTACCTACAGCTAACATTTTTGCCAAATTTTTAAAGAATATCAGCCATTTTAGCACATCATGTAAAATGAATAATAAAAGAAAAATTCTTATAAAATTTGTCCCCCAAAAGCGTCGGATTTAATATGCCTTGTAAAATAATTCATTTTTAGAAAATAAGAAAATATCATACTTACAACAAATTAATGTTCTGATTTAAGAATGGAATCTAATACCTTGCATATGTCTTTCACGGCTTGCTCTGAAGCACTGCACTGTAACGATGAAATTCGTAATCACTTTTCTATATGTTTAATGAGATGGATAATGACACATTCAAATTCCTTAGGTATTTGTTGTTCAAGTTATTATTTTTGGGGGGGAATTTGCAATAACACCATTACATGCACTAGCTATAGTTAGAACAAACCGGTTTAATGAAAATGTCAGTTATTTAATATCTGCTGTCGAACCTGTGTCCTCAGACTTTTATCAGCTTACGAACTGTTAATAGGTGCACCTGCCCGCCCAAAGTTTATATGAAGCTTCGTAATATTCTGTGCATAACACTCGTCATTCTTGTAATGAATTTTCATAATAAAAACTCGCTATTCTGTTCCGTAGCGATCCTAAGCTCCAACGAACTGACAGCGATAAAATGCTACTGTTGCCAAATCAACTCCGACATGACATTGTTAAATTGAAACATTTACCTGTAGTAAGTACTTAAATATATTTTTAATTTTCTAAAAATAACGTATTTAGGGGGCTTATTAAATAATGTACTTTTGTAGGCAAATCTTATACATCAGTCAAATCTGCCTAACCAAGCCAAGCATAGTACATAAATGCATTTCTGCGAATCAGTGCTGCGTGAAAAATAAGATTAGCAATCTTAGTCATGAATCTGAAAGAAAATGCATAGGTGCCTCCGTAATAAAGTGACCGCTTCCGGCCTTAGTATTGGCCAACGCCTATAATGGCTAGTGTACGGTACTGATAAAACGTGTATATGTATTGTTTGGAGAATATAAATCCTCATTCAACTTAATGACTCAAAAGAAACAGAATTATGTAATTCTTGTTTGAATGTGATTCTGTTGCGGTCAGAACTCAAAAAGAAGGAAACAATTTTCCTTATACGGAACATATACGAAAACTGTTGAGGTTTCTAAATATAAAATCGAATTTTTAAGAAGAAAATATCTATAATCACTAGTTGCATTGTGAGTAATTTTAAGAATTTTAAGAATTATGTTTGATTACTATTACTTCTTATTAACCAGGTATTTATAATTTCTGCGTTTACTATCGCTTTTTCTGTTCTGTTTCCGCACCAGAAATGTGAATGAGTTGGAGAGACTTTGAGGGCTTTTGATTGTAAGACAGATCATGTTTTTGCCTCTCGAGGCCGCCCTACTAGATTTCGTTACTTCTGATAAGGTTGTAATTCTTCGGCTTTGCGTTATTGTTACCGATATTTAATTCTTACGTCAATGAGCAGTTCTGAGGCAACTTAGTTTAAATTAATTTGTGTTGTCTCTGACTAACAGGCTTCGTTTAACTTTTGAATTTGAATTCTACATTAAGTTATATCGCCACCAGCGCGGTGGCTGTTTATGTAAACATGAGACGTATATTTTTTGTACAGTTTCTGATTTAATCAGAATTTAAATAAAATTTAAGTTCTGATTTAATGAAAGGGTTATTTCAACCTTCTCGTCTTTGTAGTTAACTTCAGACCAAGTGATAATTCTCTCAAAGTCTGTTAGGAGTTTGGATACCAAAGAAAATTAGTAGTTATTTAGTTTATACTACCAAAGCAAGTCTAACTCTAAAAATTTTACTTTCATTTTTTAGTATTTCAATACATATACTGCTGTCTTCAGTTCGCGTAATTTATTCATTAGAGCAAATGCTCGCGCCTGACTTTATAAAAATAAAATTTTTAAAATTGAATTTAGAATTTTCTATTTAGAATTTTCATTCAAATTTTAAAACATCAGTTTTGAAAAAAGGGTATTTTAGACACATCTAATCATAATTTAGGAAAAAAATCAAAACTCAAATTATTTATATACAAATTATAATAGATATGTAGTAAAGCCCATAAGCCTAAATAAAAAAACCTGGGTAGAAAATTAACGTTAATATAGTAAAGCTGCCTGATTAATTCAAAATATTTGAGAAAATAATTTTGAATCTGGGAGTCCTAAATACAGCCCTCTTGCTTTCTTTAAATAAATATTCTTTAATTTTTCATTCTACCTACGTTCATTTGTCAAAATTGCAAAAATTTGTTTAAAAAAGAAGTACAAAAATAAATAATCAAATAAATCAATAAAAATATTTTGTACACAGTTTTTGCAATCCTGCGATTTTGCATCAGGAATTTATACAGCTTTATCAATGAAATGTTGATTTGATAATTTAGGATACAGCAATTAAAAAATATAAAAATTTGAAACTTACTTATAAATTACATATTTAAAGCTATTTTTTAAACTGGCCAAAAGGAAAATAAATTGCTTAGAAGGAATCTTTCACAATGTAATTTATGGGTAATATTTTCAAAATAATGTTAATTTCAAAAGTGACATATTCTAAAATATTCTATTTAAACCTTTCTGTGCAATGATACCTAACAGGGGTTTCAAAAACAGCTCCGGTGCAATTATTTTTCTATATTTACAAAGCTTATATATAAAACTGCTAATTCTTATTACTAGTTAATGCCAATTTAATTATTAATGCCAATTAAATTTAACAATTTTATAATTAAAGCCAGTTATATTTAATAATTTAAGTTAGCAATTTTATTTAATAATTGAAGCTACAGTAATTATATAAAAATTACTAATTCTTATTAGTAGTAAACTGCTAATTCTTCTTATTAAGTAATAATTACTACTTTAATTATTAATGCCAATAATATAGAAAATATAGACTTAATGTGGTCTTAGAGTAGAAAAAAAAATGCAGACTTAATATAGAAAAATATACTTAATGTATAATTTGTAAAAAATATACTTAATACAGTTTGCGAAAAAATATTCAATGTATAATATGTAAAAATACACTTAATAAAATTTGTGAAAAATATACTTAATGTGTAAATATGATAAATATGATTCTTAATGTAATTTTAATTGCGAAAGAGATATACTCCAAATTGCGCCATTGACACTTTTTTATGAAAAGAAACTTGATGACAAGTTATCTTTAATTGCAAGAACATTAATTAGTGTGAACTCTATTGTGATTATAAAGGCTATATAAATGATACTTGAAACCTGAAGGCTCATAAGCATTTAATGTCACTTTTAAGGTTTCCATAATATGATTATTTACGAAATAATAAATTTAGCCAAACATTAAATGATCTTAATAATTAACATCACTATTTTCTTAATGCATATTCTTCTACTGTTTTACAGCTGTTCAACAGAAATTACGAAAATTAGAATTAATAGAAAAGTTCATAGATGCGATTCCTTCGAATAGGAAAACGGCTGAACAAAGGTAAGAAATGCTATTTGTAAAACATGATAATAATGATACAGAATAATGCATTTGGTTTTTTTAATATTATCAAAAAGTAAAATTTTCTCTGAAGGCATTTAAGTGCAACATGAGAATAAAATGCAGCATTGTTTTGTTTCCAAAATACTTTATGGAATTAAAATTTGACACCGCAAGCAACCTGGCTTGTGAATACACATCTGATCTGTATATTAAACATGAGCTTAATGCAAAAGATTTTCGCATATTTCAGTAAATTTGCCTTTTGATTATTAAAACCAAAGGAGTAGATACAAATCGAGGGGGCCCACCAGCGGCCGAGCGGTAACGTCGCTGAACACTGGTAGTTCGGTCCGAGGTTCGAATCCCGCGAACGGGCTGGCTGCATGGGTATTTTCGTGTTTTTCCCCATGTGTAACGTGTATACGAGCCAGTTTCCCTTAGAAAGTCCTCCACGAAGGCATCCCTCCCCCTTAGGCAGATAGCCCTAGTAAGCTTTGCCATAATTAAATACACACACACACACACACAAATCGAGAGGAGTTCGTCTTTGCAAGTGAAGTTATTATCTGATTAAAATGTAACTTACTTTAGGGGATGTAAATAAATGACAATAAAAATAATAATGAAAGGATTTGAGCACTTTACTTTTATGCAAAGCGTAAACTACTGAGGTGTAATATCTGCTCTGGTGGCATTACATGCTGAATGTTGATACACGACATCACTTGAAGGCAAACAGCTTCCTTACATTTCAGTTTGAAGCTACTGCTTCAAACTGATGATATTTCATGTGTGACACATTTGATAACCTATCTTACCTAACACAATCCATCAAGCGACGGAGAACGGAGGCAGAGTCTACCAGAGCCCACCTACCATCTACCAGAGGTAAGCAGGTGCATACCCCTCGTCCTCCATTATGCAGCGCTTATTGAATAATTTAAGGATTTAGGTGAGTAACATGGCTTTACAGCGAGTAGGTAGCTGTATAATGGCTACAGTTTTGGGAACAGCGGGTGCGAGAAACACACTGCAATGTCAGAACAATAAAATAATTATAAAAGTAATACAATAAATAAGCAGAGCAATATAATAGTATACAATTAGTAAAGACGTAATAAAATAAATGAGTAATTCAACGAAAAAGTAGTATTCTATTAAATAAGTTGTGCAATGAAAACGTAATACAGCATAAAGGTACATTTAGTAGACAGGTTTTAGTATCTTTCTTTTCTTAGCTATCATGCAAAGACAAGATCTTAGTACTAAGAGGCGTGAAGAAATAGCACACGGGGAAAGGGTTTAAATTGCTCTTTTATTTGATTAAACTCGTTAACAAAAATGCAAGCACTTTGCGCTCACAATAACACCGATTACGTACGGTGGGAACTTAAGAATAATTTAACTATGACTTTAAATATGGCAAAGATTAGTGCTGGATTACTTGAGACTAATAGGCTGACTCAACAACCTACCCGGGCGATAGACTTTAATAAGCGGCCGAAAGGCGTAGCGGCAACAAAAATTTTACAACAGAAAGGACAAAATAGCAATGTGCTATACTAGCAAAATTGCGCTCTATCTAACTTTCCCCCTTTTCGCCCGGTTAAATACTCTTTTCCATTTTAACCTTATTTGCACCCTGGCAAGAAAATATGAGGGGAATTAAGGAGTACAGAAAAGATAACAAAAATTAGACTATAAGAAAAACAAAAATTAACTAGCAAAAAATAGACTAACAAAAATTAGAACTTAGTTTGAAAATCGTTACAAAAATTGGACCTTAGTTTGAATTTGGTTATTCAAACTAAGGGTAACCCTACAATGTAATGGAGGGATATAACAGAGGAAAGCAGGTATACATCCCACATCCTCCTACGGTTGGAAGCAAAAACTTCCTGGACTATGGGAGCACCATTCGAGCAAATACGAATGTAATGAGTATGTTTAAGTTTAGGCTTCGTCGTAAAATGCGATTCGCATGATTATACTATATTTCGCTAAGTGTTCAGACTGCGCACGGAATTTGCTGCAGTTCCGAATTGCAGAAAATATGCTGTTTTGTTGAGTACGGGCAGCTTAGCGAATAAATGTCTTATATGAGCTAGCAGATATCCAATTCCAGGGCTGTAGCCATTTCAGGAGCTCAGTAGCGAAACAAGGGAGGGTATCGAAGCAACAGAAGGAACCCTAAGAGACCAGAATGGTATCTGGTTGACTGAGGTGCCGTAAGAATTCAAATCCCTATGTGGGAGAGTGTAGCCTAATATGAGTATCTGCAAAGAATTGTAATTTTTACAGGAACAACAACAAGTAAGTTATAGGATATCTCTGAGCTATCAGATTACTTAACATCACTACTAGAGGAGTCTAGGTCACATACAAGTGTCCTGTGGTGAAACCGTCATCCAGCTACGCGCACGAAGTGTAATTAAAACTAGACATAAGTTTTAAATAAAGAAATTCTTAAAGAAAACTTGATAAGTAATTCTTCATCTTAAATATAGGGAAAACTGCCTGCCTAGCTAGAATGCCTAAGTTGAAGGCATTTTCATGAAAACTAATGTTGATGCCAGTTTTCGTGTTGTGTTAAATAAGACGAAACCGTGAAATTTCATATAATCAGTTACTTTATGATGAACTGAGTTCGGGACAAAATAATATGTTAATTTGATCTGACGAGACTGCAAAATTCGCAGTTATGTGTCACTCACAACTTCATCCCGTCTGGTGTATATATTAAAGCTACATTTAGCCCTGAACTCTCTAAACAATAGCAGAACTATTGGAACATGGCAATTACAGGCAAAAGATTGCACAAGATGTTTCTAATGGTGGATCAGAACTTAATAGAGGTTCACCACAATTTACACAATACCTGACAGGACTTGAGCCATATATTTCCTGCTCGCATCGTTTTGGAATCAGAAATAATGAGCTTTGCATCTGCGGTAGTGTCAGTGATGCTTATCACTGTTTGTTCGATTGCACCTAAACCAAAAATATATCATTTGAAAAGATCCTTCCGTGACCCAGGGATGAGCATAGGTCAGAAGCACTAGGAAAAATAAATGTCCTCCTCACTCGCATAAGACATTGTACGACCATTGCTAACAGTATAGCTGACAGCCTGGAATAATTCTTTGTTATTTGCTTCTATGTACATTTCTATTTTATTACGTATGTTTGCTACCCAATAATGTATAGCTTTGTTGTATGATTTATCTAAATATGCTTCTCATGCTAATGTTATAATACATTGTTCTGTTACAATAATACTTTAATTTATAGCTAATTTAATGCCTTGTTTCTAAATGCATTCATATGAAAATGTTTATATAAATGTTATCATGTCCACATTTCAACACTGTGTATTCTACTATAATTTGTATCTTTAAACAGTTTATACAATTTTCATTTTTATAATAGTTTTACTCCCTTTAAAATAGCGTATTTGTGTGTGGATTAAACATGTTTTCTTTTCGTGCATGCAAATAATGTAATGCATTAATTGACAGGAAAGTTTCCATCTTTAGATTCACATATTCGGTTTGCATCCGAAGGAAATACTTAGCGGTTATAACACATGCATATAGTTATTAAACAGTTCGGATAATGAGGCTTTTGTAAGAAAATCTAACTAAACCCTGTGAATAGCTACTCCATTATCAGTGGAAAAGAAAAAGTGCGTTGAAATACAAATTTTTATCATTATTAATCATGAGTAGGGATAATTTTATGTCTTCCATAGAATAACTGAAATTTTTACCAGTTGAAGAATTTCGTACCAATACAGTAAAAAAAAGAAACACTCAAGCACAATTTTATCCTATTGAACAGGTCAGACTGTATTCCCGTCGGTGGTCAGTGTACGCTAATTGCCGGACTGAATTGCTGTGGCTTTAGAAACTGGTGCAATTACAATGATGAATACGTGCCAGCTGACGAGTACAACCCTCCAAGATACATAAACAGGTGTCGGGAAGGCAGTATGACAGCATATGCTGAAGATATGTGGAATGAATATATCGGCTGAAGTTCTTGACTTAAAAAGAGTTTTCAAATTGCTTTTATTTGTGATTAAAATAATTTAATTTAGCGAGATAGCTTATTTTTTAATTTCTGATCTCAGCTTTTGATAATGTTTTGTCTTTAACAAACAGTATTTATTGAAACGAACATATGAAATGTTAATACTTAGACTGCAGATTTTCATTACAAGATTTTACAACCCAGTTAAAACATTAAAATAAAACAAAGTTAAAATAAGCATTAAATTAGTAAAATTGATAAGATGATTGATAAAGATAATTGAAAATATTTATATATCTTTTCATTTGCATTTATATATTTCCTAATATATTCATTCAAAGCGTTATTAAACCTTTCGACTATGTAAATTTTATTTCTGCATTTTCTGTAGTAAATCAATAAATATAAAGCACGACAATTGTTGAGTATTTTCATTGTTTAGTACCTTTAAAAAATAATGAGTATTTTTATTGTTAAACTTAGAGAGTTTGCCTTGTTTCGGGAGGATAAACTAGTTCAAAACCCCTAACCGATGCAAAGCGAATTATCGCTGGGTCTGAAGTAACTACAGAGATTAAAAAAGTTTAAATACCCATTTTATTAAAACAGAGCTATGAACGTAAACACACTTCTTGTGTAACAGAATCAATCACCATTTGCGGTGGTGTAACTGTAACAGTCACTTTCAAATTTAAAACGTATATTAGCAGTCAAAGACTACACAATTAAATTTAAATCTAACCTGTCTCAAAAACTCAGCAATAACGCTAAAAACGAATATTACAAACATATCACAGCTCGTAGCATTAACGTAACATGGAAACGAGAGGCAGAAACACGCTCTGTCTTACAATTCAAAAATCTCAGCTTAATACATTCTAACTCATTTATATTCTGGTGAGAAAACGGAAAGGAGAATTTAGGACAAAGGTTGGAATTATAAATAACTGGTTAATTTACATAATAAATCGTATATTTTTCCTCACCAGAATTTAAATAATTGCAACGAAGTTCTTTAACGACCTTGTTCTAAGATTTTAAATACTAAACCTACACATAAGCCAGCTTTTACAAGCATAAACTTACAAATGTAAAGATAATTTTTTTAACAGAGGATTTGATTTTAAAGGAAAACATGTCATCAGAACATTCATTAGTTTCTCATCCTCTTCCAGACATATGGAAAGAAGAAGAATGTATTAGAAAACATAAATTTAACATTTGATATATTTCTCTTGACATTTTCTCTTCAATAAAAATCTTTTGCTTTTTTTCAATGCTTAATTTCTTATCCCTATTCTCCAGTACTGTATTATATGCCAGTGTGCGTGAAACTATACAATGTATTCCACACCACTTCCTAACCGATAATCACTTAGACACACTAGACCTCAAAGAACACCTTATTTCAGAATTGTACCTAATATGCTAAGCTTAAATTTTTCTAAACCTTAGTGTAGGCTGGAGTTCCACATAACTTTTATTCACTTACATTCGGAAACCTAACTTTTACTTATTATCAATTATTAGCCTATAAGGTATTTTTCCCACTTCCCTAGCGTGCCTTCATGGTGTAACGGTAGCACGCTGGGCCGGTATTCCAGAGGTCCGTCGTTCGATTCCCGGCGAAGGCGCTGTTAATTTTTCAACTCTCCAGCCTAAAAAAAAAAAAAAAAAAAAAAAAAAAAAAAAAAAAAAAAAAAAATCCTAATAACTCTAAAAGCCTTTGCTTAAATATCTCAGACACACATATTTATTAAACATCATGTTCTTAGAACTGAAATCACCTAAAATTCAATTCAACAGCAATATCACAAAATATTTAAAAACAGCATATCTTTAGAATTTCTGATAGACAGTCTCGCGCGGAGATAATTTTTTTTTCTCTGTAAAGTATTGGCGTTGCTCGCTTTTAGATCGTTGAGTTTATTAATGAAAACTTCATGAAAATTTTACAAAATGTGAAATAGATAATAAAATTCCAAATTCGGGCTTCCAGGTGCCTACGTTCGGGTGCAGGATTATTCAAATTTGATGTTATTCAAAATTTGATGGGTTTAAGTATCGTCATTTTTCCACAATACTAAACATACTTACTTTCATGCACATTCTCCTTTATTTATTTTTTTAAATAATAAAGGCGATAATAGTACTCTTAATTTCGTCCCGACGCGAATGTGTCAAATTCTAGTTTTGTGACAGTTGCATTTATCCTTCTTATGTATTAACTTTCGGTAGTTTTGATAGCATTATATTTATTAGCCTTCATTGAATAGCTATGAATTTATCCCCATTTAAATTAAATACTTAAAATTTACTATGAAAGTAGCTTTCAGAATCTATCTCTTTTATGTATTTCTCATCACACTATCGGAAAATAAAATACCATATTTTACATTTGCATAATATAATGCCACTTTTGACTTAATCTTCCACCATACAAATGACTTCTGGTGTTAAAAGTTCTCATAGGAATTATTTTTCAGTTTTAACCCTTTGACTACTAACGTGGCATATAGTATTTCTCAATAAAGTTTAAGAAGGAAGAGGAGAGAATCAAAATTCATTCAAGAAAAAAATACATTCAGGGGAAGGAGAGAGAGGAGAATATTTTGAATGTTGGGGATCATTTTCCAATAGTTGGCAAATCTAGACGCCGCTATGCTCGTTGTACACAAATGAACATAAAAAAAGCAACATTACTTTTACGAAATCGCTTACAGAACAATTTTACCTTTATTACAAAGCATTTCAAACATACTTCATGAAGCATTTACAATTCATTTATATTCAAAAGATTTCTCAGATTGATCATTACATCCCAAGGTACAGAATTTGATTAAATTTGCCATACAAATATACCGACACTTTCTTAAAACAGTCTCTTGGACTAAAGTCAGAGTATCACGCATGTACGAAAAACTCAAAATGTTATTTTCCTTTCCTTACAAAAAATTTATCATTTTTCTTTTCAACTTCGTTACAGAGTTTCTCCATAGGTTGCTACTGGAAAATTCTCGAAAATTCCTCAAATTCTATTTCGACCTGGAATATTTCTCTTTCGTTTAGTTACAGCTGAAAAAGGCTGATCGTTAAGTCTCTGTCTAAACTAAAAGTCTACTTCAAGCAACACTTACACTTAATTTTACTTGATTATCTTGAATTCCAGATTTTAGTTTGAGTTAGTATAGATAAAGGCTAGTTTAAACTAGTTTCAATCAGAGATTTTTATCTAAATATTTCTTGCATTTTTCATTTCAGTATTATATTTTGTAGTATGACTTGTGTTACCCTCGGCTTTGGTTTATCAAGATAAACGACATCGTACATATTAAGATTTGTGAGATTTTAAATGAATGAATGAGAAATAAAGAATTACATGTTTCAGTTAACTAAAGGTGTAATACTGTTGAGCTATATAAAATGTTTGTATATCTTTATCAATTAACTGCAGACTTTGAAGCGGTAAGATATTCTTAATAACATTGCCAAGAAAAACTCGTATATAGCATCAATATAAGGAGAAATTCATTACTGAAATTTCATCCATATTAATCAGTGAATTAGAGATCTTAGACTTCCGGTTTCGCCAAACGCCAAAAGAAATGAATGTTTTGAAAGCACTCAATAGATCTCATCAAAACGAAAGCTGAATTGAAATTCAATTACAAAATTTACAGTGAGTTTTTATTTTTGGTCTTCTTGATAAAGTTAATCTGCTACGTGATATCAGTATCGCAGCTGCATTAAATGTCAGGCAAACTAAAATTTTTTTTCAGAAAGCATTTTTATACATGTCTAACACAATGCAACATGTATAAGCACAGATGTACTTTATAAATGTATTTAACATTTAAATGTAAGAGATTTTTATCCCATCGTAATTCAAATTAAAGCAAGAACCGTAATTTCATCTTCACATCATGGAGAATGCATATTTCCTCATTCTGAAGGATTTACAAAGTTTTATTTTTGTTATTTTTTAATGCCTGACACTTAAAAAACTTGATTGTCAATCAACGAAATGACACAGGATATTTCAATCCGTTTTTTATACTACAAATCAAAAAAGAAAATATTTTCCGCAGATGATCGTTTCTCGAATTTGATTGGTTGCGGAATGTATTTATGTGCATAATTTTGGCATATAAATTTCGTTTAATAGACGATTTTTAGTGTATTTATCCTCAAGTTTGCTTTCAAGGTAGGTATTCGAAGTTTCTGCATTCTCATGCATTTTAATAATTATATTTATTGACAAAACTCACAAGTTGCCTGTAAAGAATTTTTGAGAATTTTATAATTTTATGCGTTAGAAATATGAACAAGAGGTATGTAAGTTCAGTGAAAGAAATTAAATAATTTCGGTCTCATTTACATGTATGAAATTGGAATTGATCTTCTAAAATAATTAAAGAAAAGAATTAAGTAAATTACAAGTCTTCATCCTGAACAAATATGATCTGGTATCTCGGATCGAAAAATTAATTACTAGAATCAAACGAAGGTTTCATCTCCGTTTAACTGTTTTAAGGTTTTCATTTATTAATGCTTTAAATTTTCTTGCAAAATGTTAAAATATTTAACAAAATTAACTTTAATAATTCTTACCGTATATGAGAGAGGTGGCCAAAACTTCATGTCAGCAAGAGCAACATGTTGAAATTCAGGAAAGTTAGAGAGCCGCATTATTTCCAAAAGCAAGTCCATATTTATATCCTCTTAAAAGTAGTCAAACAGATTTTAAATTTGAAAAATGTCTGCTTAATGTCGATAAAAATGAAATAAATTAATTGCTTTCTTTTGGACACTGAGTGGTTTTGGTTTATGAGTCAACTACTGAATGGTTCATACATATATTTTATTTGCATAGGAACCGCACTCACCCGCGAGAGCCACGCGATGGTCACAGTTAGCATTTATTTTTCTGAAGGGCATTTCAATTTAATTTTCATTTTTACAAGATCATATGATACATGATGAGAATCTCTTTATAATCGAAAGATGCTTCTAAAATTATTTAAAGGTTTTGAGTGCTGATAGGATATTTATGTAAGACGCATACTCTATAAAGTTAATAAAGTTATTTTGCTACTAAAATTTTAGTCCAGAGAGGCAATTTGCCCAGAAGGACTATTAATTTCATTTTGGCATTTTGCGTCGATTAAATTTCTGCGATGTTTCTCTTTTCAAATTATTGCCACCAAATATTATCGCCCTGTAATATAATTAAAGAAATTACGTAATAAAGAATCTGCATAATGTATGTATGTTTCTCGCACTGTGATAAAACAAAGGTACCTATACAGCCATCCAATTTTGAATAATGTACTCTTTCACCGAATATGGACATCTGGTAGCCCGAATTTGGAATTTGTTTTATAATCGATTTCATATTTCGTAAAACTTGGCGAATGTTTGATTAACATATTCAATGATTTCAAAGCGAACAATGGCAACGTTGTAGAGAAAAAACATTTTTATCTTCAGCGCGCGAGACTGTGTATCCGAAATTCCGAAGATATGCTCATTTCAAAATTATTTTGCGATATTGCCGTTAAACTGAATTTTTATGGTTTAAGTGCGAAGAACATGATATTTAATAAATAAAGGTAACACGCGAAACGTTAAAAAAACGCCCCTTTGTCCGCAATTTAAAATCTGAAACATTATAAGGTATTTCTCCCGCTTTCTTGGCATGCCTTCATTATGTGGTGGTCTGTACGCTGAGCGCGTATTCCAGAGGTCCGCGGTTCGATTCACGGCGAAGGCGTTGCTAATTTTTCTATCGCCCTTGCTTCCAAAAAAACCCTAATGTCTCTACAGTGGCGCCCGAACTAAAAGGGTGTTGGATAATGATTCTCCTCAACCAGGGTTTGGCGATTGTGTTCCCTAAAAAACCTCAGTCGCCACTTAAAAGGGGGAGTATATCAAGTATTTCTCACGCCTTCTTAGCATGCCTTCGTGGTGTGGTTGTCTGCACGTTGGGCGCGTATTCAAGAGTTCCGTGGTTCGATTCCCGGTGAAGTCGTTGCTAATTTTTCATTTTTACTGCTTCCAAAAGAATATCTAATGTCTCTACAACCTTTCAGATTTTTTTTATCTAATAATCTTCTCAATTAATGTAATATAGGAATGATTAGAAAATATAGACGCATTTGAAAAATATTTAACGTGCATTTCAAATAGACAGTAGTAAATCGAATTTATACATGATGAATAACTTCCCTTCCTTTCAGATGAATAAATTTTGGGTGTTCGTTGTAGCAAGTGCTCTTGTAGTGGTCTCTTGTGATGATGCTGCTAATGACCCGGAACTAGAAGGTAAAGTACCATAAGATGTAGGTTTCTAATAATACTCGAACGATATTTTAATGTTTTTAATATTTGTGATTTAAACTGAAAGCATGTTTGGAGGATTCTAAATTTTCCAGACACATGACAATTCTTCTATGCTTTAGGTCTACAACTGGTTCATATTAGTAAGTATACTTAAGAAAGCCCGCGAAGTTTAATTTTAAAGAGGGTCTTTATTAATTAACTTCTTTAAAATTTTTCAGATTATGATCTTTATAGCTTAACCGTCAACTTGGTCAGAGAAAAGTATACTAGCATAAACTGCATACGAGAAGTGATAAATATGTCAAAATTTAAATATCTGGCTTGCATTTACGCTGCCCAAGACGGCAAAAACCTCATGCCACCAGACCGCTCAGAGTCGTTTTCAAGTCTATCAAGAACGTATCATATCTACACTTTTGCAGACTTATCACATCAAGATCTTTAGGTGTTACATTTTACCAAAATGCAGTGAAATTTACTCCTGGTGGGAATTCATTGTTGTAAGATACCTTTTGAGGCTTATTCTGCGTGTTTAAATTCCTTCCGATTTGGAGTGAATTTTAGTGTTCTGGAATTTTACAGTTATTCCAAAACGGGTTTATTTGTAAAATGGAGTGCATTACTTTAGAAGAGATATTCAGGCATATATGTATGCCTGAAAGAATATTTTTTAGTGAAAATGTTATTGATTTTATTATAGGAAAGTTTCTTTGAAATCCTCAAATTATGAAATTTGAATAATTATTATTCAAGTAAAAAACATTCAGAATAAAAAAATAAAAATAAGTTTAATTAATTACATCTGTAAAATGTATTTATTTTATTTGAAATATGTTCTGAAATATAATATTCAGAAACTTACAAAAAGTCTATATGATGTCAATTATTAATCTTTCCAATTTAATGTAATTTACTTATATTTCTTAGCTACTCAAGGAATTTGCTAGTGCTCGTTTACAGCTCGTTATACAGCCTAAGGTCATTTGTCAGCCTAAGGTCATAATAACTTTTAGACTAACCTTGAGATAAAAAAGCTTCATGTCCCAATTAAGCAGGAATTCTTACTTGATATTCTATACTGAAATTTCATATTCATTTTTCTAATTTTCTTTATTCGAATCATCACTCATAGAAGCAGTAAAGCTATACTAAAATTACTCAGTTCTAGGTATCATCAAACCACACATTTTATCGAATATGATTTCTAGTTGTATACAACACAGTCTAATTTTTTCGTATAATTGAAATACATACTGTATTTACTCGCAAATTTCTCGCCTTTTCTACAAATTTAACTTCTTGGAGACCTGAAGGGGGACATAGAACATATACATAGTATACTATTTTCAAAGAGACGACATTAAATGGTAGCACATTAAAAATCTTATATAAAGGAATACTGTATTATGTATTTCAAAGGCCTTATCAATTTTAATTACATTCTTTGTACTTGCACAAAAATCTTTATTTACATGCTTCCTATTTGTTTATACACTTTACAATAAATCAGATGTTTCTAAATTCAATGCTGGAAAAACTAAAAGCACGCGAGAGGAGGAATATGAGGAGTAAATTCGGTTTATGTTGTTTATGTTCTACATATCACTTTTAACTACTTTACAGAAATGCAGAATTCATTACTTGAGTTATGAATACAGGCAGCGTAACTTTGTACAGATTCGAAAAATTGTTCTATGATTTTCTTTTGTGTCCCGATTCGAAGAAGCTTCCAGCTTTTTTATAAAAGGAAAAGATGTGTTTCTTGACCTTATTTGCAAAAATTATTTAATCAAAAAAAGCCCGTCAGCGGCCCAGCGGTAAAGACGACGCTGAACACTGGTACTTCAGTCTGGGGTTTTGAATTTCTGCGAACAAACTGACTGCAAGAGCCTTTTCAAGTTTCTTCATGTGTAACATGGGCACAAGCCAGTTTCCTTTAGAAAGTCCTCCACGAAATCATCCCTTCACTAGCCTAGTGTTTGCCGTATTTAAATAAATCAGCTAAATCAAAGAAAAGATATTTAAACCTCTGAGTGGTTCGATTTTTTTTTAAATCTGGTCATGTGGCACTGCATTAAAACAGTATTTATTAGCTAAATTTATAATATTACTCATTCTATCCAAGTTAAAACGAGTTGTTTTGGCGAAAGATTAAGACCGGAGACAACTGATTGAAGGAAATCAGCTTTCTCCAGTCCAATGACGTCCTATGATTTCGTAGTAACGGTCCAATTGTTTCTTCTATAATTATAAAGTATGTACATGAAACATGAATCTTTAGGAGTATTTAATACCACTTTGAAGGCTTTCTAGTATTGCCATCTACTAAATAATAAGACTAGTCAGACAATAAATAGCATAAATAAAAACAATACTAATAAAAGAAATAACAAAATGCATAGCTAAACGAATTTTAAGTGATATTTTCTTGTATTGTGCATAATATATACTCCTTTATTTTTTTATAGTTGTTCAAAAGAAGTTAGAAAAGTTGGATTTCATAGAAAAGATGGTTGCTGCGATTCTTGCGAGTACTAAAAAGACAGAACAAAGGTAAGAATGGCTGTTTGTAAAACTGATAAACCATTGAATCAGTGAGTAAATTTTTTTAACTTAATTAGAAAATCAGCTTTCCTCTGAAAGATTTAAGGCGAACATAACAACAATATGTAGTTCTATTTTGTTTCCACGTAATTTTTTAAACTAAAATTTGGCACCAGAAGTATAACCTAAACTTATACACCTCATTTTCTCTGTAAATACATATCACTTATCGGCTGTATGAAAAAATTCTCTATATATTTCAATAAATTTGCTTTTTGTAAATTAAATCCAAAGAGTATATATGCATTGTGTAAAAATGATGAAATGCGTCTAAGCAACTAATCTCATAAAAAAGGAGCAGCATCCTTGCATTTTATTTTGCGATTTCTGTTTCATATTCGTAACAGATTTGATAATCTAGCATGTCTTAGAAAATTTAAGCCTGAGAGAGATTTAAAAAACTTACCATCCAAATGACAGAGAATTTCGGCACACCGAAGAGAACAGAGCTGTATGTGGCTGGGTGTAGCCTAGTATGAATATCTTCAGACTCGTCATTTAAACAGAAGTTTCAATGCAATAGGTTGTAGGATGTATGACAGCTACCCTATTACAGGTACCAGATTAACTAGTCGTCCGATTCTCGTGTGAAAGGGGTAAATATGACTAAATATAAAACAAATCTAAAGCAAAAAGAAAATTTCAAAGCAAAAGTTAACAATTAATTCTTTATCACAAAACAAGTGAAGCTGTCTGTTTACGTGGAATAGCTATATGGAAGGCATTTTCAAGAAAACTGACTCGTGTTTAATTAGACAACGTGAGACCCTATACAGTCATTTCTTTTACTCTTAGCTGATTTTGATGCGAACTACTATAGTCATTGCTCTTATCTATTCAGCGTCTAAGGAGCAAGGATATTTAAAAAACCTTCTGTAACAGGTGAACAAAGCAAGCGCTGGAAAGATTAGCTTGATTAATTGATAATGCATTAAAAAAAAGCTTTTTTCTTCATTAACCATGAGTAGTAATAAATTTAGGTCTTTCAATAAAATGACTGAACTTTTTACCATTTGTAGAATTCCATACCAGTACAATAAAAAGATTATTTTTGCTTCAAAACACTTGTACATAATTTTATTTCATTGAACAGGTCAGACTGCATCCCCTTCGGTGGCGAATGTTCACTAATTGCGGGACTAAACTGCTGTGGTTTTAGAAATTGGTGCAATTACCATGACGAATATGTTCCAGCCGATAAGTACAATCCTGCAAGATACATAAACAGGTGTCGGGAAGGTAGTTTGACAGCATGGGCTGCGGATAAATGGGATGACCTTTTCGGCTGAAATTATTCAATTACAAAGCGCTTTCAAATTGTTTTCACTTTTTTGTGATTAAAATGATTAAATTGAACAAGAGTGCGGCATTTTTTAATTCCTGCTCTTAGCTTTTGATAATGTTTTGTTATATATTTAACAAATATTATTTATTATAAAAAGTGCATGAAATGTTAATGTTTAGACTCCAGATTTTCATTACCAGAGTTATTACTTCCTTGTTACAATATAAAAAAATGAAATGGAATGTTCAATAAAAAGGCTTTTGATTTGAAAGAATAAAAGCTTAATGATTTAAAACGTGTTTAATAGCATATATACAATGATTTACAGAACAGAACAGATTTACGAAGCAAATATTTCAAAAATTTCGGGAATAGATCAGATTTACAAAACACAAGATTAAAATGCCAATAAAATAGTTGTAGTAAAACATAATGACGTTAAGAAAAATTAATTTATTTTATTTTTATAGAACAAAATAAAATAACATCTGACCTGAAAGCTTTAGATTATAATCTGATGTCTCGAAACATTAAAAATTTTAAACTGTAATATTTTTTATAAATTTTGAAATACAAAATATGTAAAACAGTTAAAATCTCAAATTTCATGCATTAAATTTTAGAGATTAAATAATTTTGAATAATTCAATTAAGCAGAAAAGAAATATTTTTCCTTTCTGCTTAATTGAAAATAATATCTACGTATTTTTTCAAACCTCAATAACTAAATCTTTACAAAAACTTTAAAACTTATGAATTTCAGCATCGACTTTCGTTTCTTCTTTCATTTTTGAATATGAAATAATATAAATAAAAACACTAGAAAATGATGCTACTGTCTAACTGAAATATGTTACGAAAATATAAATATGAAATTTTAGTCTGTAGCTTACTACAATAGTTCATTATCGAAATTCTTTCTTATTTTGAATAAAGATGATAATGTAAGAAGTGAACGATAATATAAGAAGAGTCAGAAATGGCGCAATCGGTATATTATAAGTTTTCAGAATTTTATTTAATGAACAAGATTTCATTCAAGTATTATTAATTTTTTATCCAATAAGCGACGCACTTTTACAGAGTGATGAGAAATAAAAATATTTCTTATCATAGACTGGCAATAACATGATCTTATGTTTCTGAACTTTGTAATAAATAGCATTTTATGGTTAACTGAAAAAAAAACGCCTCTCGGAGACATTATAACATTATTTTAGTGTCGATCGAACCAACAACAGTACAGCTAACATGAATTGAAAATCCTAATAACATATATATCTAATTAATACAAACATATTTTTGAAAAAAGAAAAAAAAATAGGTGACTTTTTTCATTTAAATTGTTAAAAAATTGTATGATCTAGTACGCTTAGTTATAAGAAAATGTGACTAGATTTACCTAAGCGTGATTCTTGCGAATTCTCGCACAGATTTGAAGATGAGTGCAACCTGGGAAATGTGTAAAAAACCCTTTTGTTGAACATAAAATGTTTAACAGATGGCAATGAATTACATGCTTATAAAACACCGTCCACTTGTGGTGAGAATTTAAAATATGATGCAATACTAAATTTAAAGGTAAAAGCAGAGTGAGACTACACAGTTCAATTTAAGCTAACAGGTTGACTCAGAAAACTTACATTGGCAGGATAATAACTTTGTGGCAAGAATACGCCACCAACATTTAAGTTAACACCTAGAAGAAACAAACAACATGCGCTCACACTTAAAACATACTCTGTCTGTCTTTCCACTCCAACAGTTGAAAACTCTCATTCACCTTAACTCATTTGCATCTCGGCAAGGAAACGCGAGGGGAAAAGAAAATTCAAGAAAGGTTCACAAAATAAAATAACTATGAGTAAAGATAAATAGAGCTCTAGATCTTTTCCCGCCAGAATTTAGCTACGGTCAAAAAGGCTTTAAATGGCCTTGATGATGATATTTAAATATTAAACCTAATCCTGAGACAACCTTCACAAATTTTTTAAGATTAATTTATTTTACAGAAGAATTTCCTCTTTCTATTACAGGCAAATCCTTCTTCTTACAATTGTGTCCTCTAGTCTCCTTCCAGACCTCTGAAAGAAAAATAGTTTACAAAAAGATCGACTACATTTAATATAATCACATTTAAAAGGCTTTACACACTCAGATAAATTTTCATTTAGTATCACATGGGGATATTTCTGCTCGTCGTATTCTTTCCATATTTTAAATCTCCCCTCTACTCTCCAGCAACGTATACTGATATTAGAACGTGTTCTAATGTAAAACGTGTTCTACACTTCCATCTAACCGACATCCTACATGTCAGACACTAGACATACGAGACCTAAGAATTACACCCTATATTCAATTATTAGCATTGAAATATTAATTCTAGTGACAAAATTAACTTAGTATTGGCTGGAGAGCCAATACTAGTTAACTTAGTATTGGCTGGGGAGCCAATACTAAGCTTAATTTTCATGCATTCTTTAGTTTTTATTCTTAACGTAAATTATCCAATTTTCTTGACTTTCATCCACTCATATTTATTTCTGTTTACCAGCATGCAAAAATTATTTTAGCTTTAATATATATTTCACAAAAACTTTTATATCTGCAATTTATTTATATCTGTTGATTATATGACTAAATGAGGAGTGACTTCAGTAAGTGGCAGGTACCTATACCTCAGTATTTTTTCTTGAATGAAAGTTAATGCATTTATATTATTTCTGATTTATTTGGGAATTTTCCAATTTTCCCTACTAAGCCATCTCTTCGATTTAATTTGGTGTTATATTTCAAGAAAAAGATGGCTTTCAGCTGATTGTTATCAAGAGCTAGCTGGGATGTCCTGCAAAGTAGAATTAAAAATGTTTAAGTTCCGTTAAAACGGCAGCCTTTCTAGAAGCAATATGCAAATTCCTTGAAATTAATTATTAAAATATACCTATATATGTTATAATATTGACTTAGACGTAATATTGAAAAATTTGATGGTGTAGGTATTTAGATGTTGATTCATAATGAACAGAAAACTTGGTAGCCAAGGCAAATTAAATATTAATTTTTATTTCAATTCGACATTGACTTGGCACTCACATGATTTTAGTTCAGCATTATATGATTAATACTGCAATAATAAATCTATTCAGAGTATTCGTAGAAAAATGATTTGGTACGTTTTGCTTCCCAGAAAATTATGCAAAATTGATTCAGTGTATATTCTGATATATTGACGCAATTTTTGATATGCCGAGAAGTGGTGTACTAATCCTGATATATTGATATTTGATGCCCTGATAACGATTCAGTAAAAAACAGATAACTGGTTAAAAAAATTCTTTTTTTAGAAATATAGTCGAAAGAAATACGGGACAGCATGGTTGAAAATATGCTAAGGAAATTCTAAGAAAGGGAATATTAATTCTCCTTTGACTGAAGATGAAACAGAATAAGAATATAAAACTAATATGTAAATAGAAATAATAATAAATAAATATTGAAAACATAAAATTAGAAAATTGTAACCCGGAGAGAAAGTGAAATTTAGAATTAGGTCCATAGTCGTATAACAGCATCGGTATGATTTTCGAAGCAAATGAAGGGTTTAGAGTTGAAAGAAGAAAGAGTTTTTAAAATATTTAAGAGTTTTTAGAAATTTTTATGTTCTTCTATCAGTAATGAAATCAGAAAAAGTTAAAATAGTTAGATCAAAATATTCTAAATAGAATATATGAGCACTTCGTTATAGGCGTATTCTAGTTTAAGTCAATTAGAATATTGGTAGTCTGCAATATTTTTAAAAAATAAGTTAATAAAATAGGTATGAAAACAATAATAAATGAAGTTCTAAAGATTTAAAGTTTCTGGGAACATACATCAATTATACACTGTACTGACAGGATTCCAGTTCCTCAGTTAACGTTTCCTTAATAACGGTCGCCGTCGTAACTAGATCATACCAAGTTTTGGTATCTAGTGTGAATATGACAACGTGAACATCATGCGAGATGATAAGTTTTCTTCATGAATTTCAAAATTGTTTTACAAAAGAAATGAATCGTCAAAAAACAAAGAATAACGAAATATACTTCTGGAGAAGAACATTTTATCCAGGATAAGCGTGTCTATGTTTGTAGATTACTTTTACTATCTTAAGTTGTTTTGGCTTTTACTTGGCCCTGATAGTCTGTTTTCCAGATTTTCTTCCTTTGCAGTAATTTAAAAATTAACATATATATATATATTCCCCTAAAATGCTGTCTGTGTTCCACATTATTTCTTAATTTATTTAACTTTCGAATTCCGAATATCATTATTTTATAACATTAATAAACTGATAAACTATAGTATAAAGTTGCGTAAATTTTCTTAAGAAAGACAAAGTCTTATTATGCTTGATGTGACTAAGTCCGTAGAAAACCAAGAGTATTTAGAAATGCGGACAGACGGTATCAATGAAATATTTGTGCAATTTGGAACAGCTTCTTTGCCTTTTTGTTCAAGAATTACCCTGTTTTAAAATGATTTCTGTAGAATATACCTTATACATAAGGTACAGGACTGCAATAATGGGATTAGGCATTACAAGTTTCCTATATCTAATACAGGTATAGCTAGTGCACTGTGTAATCATATTACAAAGTATAATGGTTATCCAAAGAGGAATGCGTAGAACATATAGCCTATACTACTAGTAATCGGAACCTAGTCCTACCATAATAAACTGATAAACTATAGTATAATATCTTAAAGGGAGAGGCAAATGCATACTTATATGTATTTCAGGGTGCATTATAAGAATACATTACAGCACATAAAAATAAAGGTACATTCTTACAAGAGGTTTTGACGTGTACTGGTGTTCAGGTTTGTCACTCATTAGAATCTAATGATTACGCAATTGAGATAACATCAGATACAAAATTAATTCTTAGACAATGAAAGTTCTTGTCTCATCTGGCCACATTATAGAATTTCACAAAAGATGTTGTAAGGCATATCTCTATTATTCCACATAAACCAAATTACATCCTACAATGAACCTGGCGAACTCTCTCTCAGGTGTGAATTAATTACCAGCACAAAAGAAAGGTGAAAAATAACCCTTTGTTAATTCTAACTAATTTAACAGAAACGTACGGACTTCGTGCGTTACAAAAACACAGTCCACTTGCGGTGGAAACTAAAACGTAGATTATAATACAAGTCAAACCTGAAATAAATAGGAAGAGCGCACTTAAATTGACGCCTGGGAGGTGGACTAACAGAAATCTAACCGGCATGATACTAATATTACAACGCCAAGAGGCTTACTAGCGTGATCGCGAAATAACAACGAAACGTGCGCTTGGTTAGCGAAACACGCTCTGAAGAAACTTAGATATTCACACGTTTAAATAGAACTTCACTTAACTTTAAATTTACATCCTGGCGAGAGAATGTGAGGGGAAGTTGAGAAGTTTAGAACAGGAAACCAAACTTAAAATAAATTTGTTATGCAAAATAAGGAAAACCCTACAATGTGTATATTGATGTATGACCTAGTTATCCCTATTTTTAAAGTGGTGAATATGAGCCAAATGTCTTTAGAAAGTCCTCTATGCAGGCCTCATTTCTCTTAGGTGTAAAGCCCTTGTATGTGTACTGTATTAAAATAATCTAGTGTATGACCTGTTTTTTTTTAAATCTCATTTTGGTAAAATATCCATTGAAACTGATCCATCATCTGCCTGAAGCATTTTCCGGTATTTTTAATTTATCATAATGAAAACCCCTTCAACGTGAAGATCACTCATTAATCTCCTAATTATGGATCAATAAAAATGTTTCAGATAATTTTTTCGGGGATGTTCTTTTCATTTAGAAAAGAAAAACTGTCTGCTCTTCTATCCTTTGCTTTTATTAAGTTGTTTTTAAAACCAGATTTGGTGTAAAGAGATGATAAATATATCTTTTACGTTCTTTGTGTTTACTCTTTTATGCTTGCAATTGATGACTAATTTTTAGGCCATAGCTTTTTAACATAATAAATTCTTTCATATTAAAAAGCTGTGGTTATTAAAGATAACCAATCTACTCCTACAATAAAGCACAGAGAATAATAAACTTTTGTACATTAAAGTTGTATTAAAATGAGAAAACATGGTACTTTCAGATCTCTTGAGCCGTTTCGAGTATTTATTTTAGTTTGTAAAAAGACTATTAATGAAAGCATTTATATTTTCCTATGACTGTTGTCGTTTTCATAGTATTGTAGAGGGATTGAGTATTTACAGGAGCAGAAAATTGAGACAATCAACTTTTCCGTTGCCGATATGCGAACTTCAAACCTTTCGACTGCTAGCCAGACACCACAAAGACATGCTTTAAGGCAGGAGGAACTCCCTTGCAGTGTAAGCATTTGGCACTGACAAGTATTCATTTCCAGTATGCACAGAAGTGTTTTTAAAATTGTTTCTAAAAATTCTAAGAACAGCTTCAATTACCCTCGGTTTTAATTGTCATAAAATAATAACTCCTTATCAATCCAATACGAAAAATTACCCTATTTAAATGCTTTTAATATTGATTACAGATTTTCATTTTGACGTTGTCCCAAGTTAAAGACTGGAACAAGTTAATTTAAACTAGATAGGCAGGAGAAAATACATGTCGCAGTTTAAAAACTAACACAAACAGGCCAATAGATTTATTGGAAAATCGTAATATCACGGTTTAAATAACTGAATTCAAAGAGTGGAGGAAATTTATGCATCGAAATTAAGTAAATAATTATTTTTTTTTTAAATCGGAGTTTGAAGCGAGATCAATGCTGATAATTCTCCAGTTTTGATTGGCAAAAGTAATGAAGTATTTGGAATGTCATATGCAGTTTCCTTAGTATATAGAATAATATTATTGCAGATGTCAAGAATTTCCAAGGACAAAATGTGTTTCATGATTCAGCAAGCAAGACTTTAAAAGGTTTAAATGACGAGCATGAAATATCACAATTTGAATCCTAACACCTGTAATTACGTATACGAAGCATTATGTAAGGCACATCTGCGGGCTGGATTTGCTGATGTAATTCTCAGTGAAGAGA